CCCCTCTGTGTTTGCTCTGTGTGTCTGACGGTGTGTCTCTGTGTCTGTCTGCAGTGGTCAGAGGAGCAGTGCAGCCCCCAGCTCATGGTCAGTGACTACCACAGCTCCCAGACCCAGCGGCAGCTCAAGGAGAGTCTGTATGCCACCATCATTGACTACTTCGACAAGGGCAAGGTCAGCACAGTGCCCCCACAGGCTGGGAGGAGCAGCACACTCTCCCTCTGCTCTCCCCCAGTGCACACAGACACAGCGGTCTTTGTCAGAACCAGTACATGGAGTAGCCTATGCCTGCACTGGGCCAGTATCTGAGACGACAACACACAGGCAGGAGGGCACTACAGGCCCTCATGGAATACTCAGCCCTGCAGGCTCAGAGCACGGACCCAGACAGCAGGAACGGTACCAACCTACACCTATGAGCACAAGGTCACAAACAGGAGGAGGGCATTATCAAGCTGTTTCTCAAAAGAAACCAGGGCATAGGCTTCAGCAACACAGCTGGACAGCTCGTTCCACGCTCCCACAGCTCTTTCTGTAAAGCAGTGTCTCTCGTCCTCAGTTTTATAAGCTCTTCCTTATAGTTTCCCCAGGTGTACCATCAGTCTCATGTTCACAACCTGTTGGTTCTGAAGAAATCCTCTGGGCTGACTCTATCAGGACATTTGGGGATTTTGAATACTCGTATCAGGTCCCCTCATAGTCCTCTCAGTCATTTCCTTTTACCAGGGAATCACAGAGATCCATAAAACAAGTAGTATTATATTTATCAGACTTATTTGTCTTTTCCATTTTCTGACCACTTTATCTAATATGGGGTCCCAGGGGAGCAGGAGCCTATCCCAGCAAGCAATGGGCACAAGGCAGGACACACCCTGACCTGGACATCAGCCCATCACAGGAGAGACACCCACACCCACACCCAGGTCCATTTTCCCAGAAGCCGATTAACCTACAAGAATGTCTTTAGACTGTGGAAGGGAACCAGAGCACCGGGAGAAAATCCATGCAAACTTGGGGAGAACATGCAAACTCCATACAGACAGCACCTGAGCTCCAGAATTGAACCCAGGGCCCCAGCTCTACCAGGTGGCAAAACAAACCCTCGCTACTTCTGTCTACTTCACCACATCTAAAGACTTGTGTCCTGTGCTTCTTGCAATCCAGCATGAGTTCAGATGGTGATCAAGAATTCACACAACTGGAGTCTGTTGGTTGCTACTTTCACTAGTTTGCTAATTTAACTAAAGTCATGATCATTAACTAACTTAGAGAGAGCATTGGTCCTAGTACAGATACCTGTGGCACTCCACTGATCACATCACTCCAGTAAGCGGAATATAATGACTTACCTTTCTCTCCACATCCTTAATCCCCTTCCTCTCTCCCTCTCCCTGCTCCTCTCTCTCCTCAGATGTGGGAAGAGGCCATCTCTCTGTGCAAGGAACTGGCAGAACAATATGAGCTGGAAGTCTTTGACTATGAGCTGTTGAGTCAGAGCCTGGTAATAAAATCACCCCTAAACACACTGTACCCCCAACCGTGCTGTAACCCCAATCATAGCCCCCAATACTGCTGTAACCCAAAATTACTGCACCCCAGTAACAGACCCCAACCCTGCTGTAACCCCAAATCACTGTACCCCAATCATAACCCCCAACCCTGCTGTAACCTCAAATTACTGTACCCCAATCCTGCTGTAACCCCAAATTACTGCACCCCAGTAACAGCCCCTAACCCTGCTGTAACCTCAAATTACTGCACCCAAATCACCACCTTCAACCCTGCTGTAACCTCAAATCACCGTACCCCAATCATAGCCCCCAACACTGCTGTAACCCCAAATTACTGCACCCCAGTAACAGCCCCTAACCCTGGTGTAACCCCAAATGACTGCACCCCAATCACAGCCCCCAGCCCTGCTGTACCCCTACATGACTGTACCCCAATCACAGCCCCCAGCCCTGTACCCCAATCACAGCCCCCAGCCCTGCTGTACCCCTACATGACTGCACCACAAACACGTTGTCCTCTCACTGCTGTCTCTCCACAGCGCCAGCAGGCGAAGTTTTACGAGAACATCATGCACATCCTGCGCCCGAAGCCAGACTATTTTGCTGTTGGCTATTATGGGCAGGGGTACCCCACCTTTCTCAGGGTAAGAGTCACCGTGCACCCCAACACTCTGTCACTCACTGACACCCCGACATTCACTGA